TCAAATTATTTTAAAATTATTTAAAAATAATATATTATATTTCATTTTGATATTATATTTTTTATGCTGAGTTTAGCATAAAATTATATAAATCTCTGCTTTAAGAAATTGGAGATTAAAGTTATATAAAAAATTATTTTAAAATTATTTTAAAATAATATTATATATATATATTTAAAGTTATTTTTGAAAGTAACAGCTGGTTGAAGCTCTCTTCTAATGATTTTTCATTGTGCACTTAATGGAATATCGATACCAAGGATGAATAGGAGTTGATATTCTTGTGCTAACATCTGCGTAGATGATTCATGTCGAGACATGATACTCGTAAATGATAGTCCAATGAAATTGTCGAGGTATTATTAATATTTCTTCGCAACTTGTAGCTTCCTATAATGAGAGAAAAATTCCTATTGTTCAGCGCGTGATGATTGACATTCAGAAAATTGAGAGAAGTTTCATGACGAAAAAAATTGTACCTATTCCCGAATTTAAAAATTATTATTTAACTTTAATTTTTACTCCACTGAGAGTAGCGATATATCCTATCTTAATCGACGCGCCGATTTCGCGCGTCAATTAAATCCAGACATTAGGACGTCGCGAAATTTCGCGCGAAATTAAACACGTCGGAATCAATTATGCGCTCTTAAAATAATTTATTTTTGCGGGCTCTACGTCCGAACTGTCGGCGTGTGCAGTATCCATTTGTCTCGCCGTGTGGCCGACTGGTTGCGAGTACCTGTCCGATATTAAAGGCAACGTTTCGCCAATTATCCCGAACGTCCCTCCATGTCAATCCTTGTTCGAGTGACTTTTTGCTCGGGGAGGTCTATGATAAGCATTGACAAGCGAAACTAATCAGAGAAACGAAGTGCGCTGTTTATTTATAAATATCTGAAACTCTTGACTAACATATCCGAATTATAAAGAGCACTTCGAATATAGTCACATTATTTAATATCGAAAATATGTATATAGAAAAATTTGTGTTTTCTTATCGTTCAAAACGGTCCCCATGAAAATTTTTAATTGTTAATTTTTAATTTTTAATTGTTGATTGAACTTAAATGTTAAATTATTAAAACAAATGTAAAAATAACACAATAATGTGCATTTATTTTTAATTTTACGCAATAAATATGTTCTGCTTTATTAGTGACAAGATTTATCTGTTAAAATTTACAGAAAAAATGTTGATTTTCTATTTTATGATATAAGTGGCGATGATAAAATCTAAAATTAACATATTTTTTGTTCATTTTTACATTAAAAATATGTTAATTTTACACAAAATTTATTTTTAATTATTTGAAGTTTTGCGTTAAATTATTAACACACTATTTGTGTCTCCATTTAACATATTATGTTAAATTAACACAAAAATTTCTGTGCACTGTTTTGGGACATGTGATATCTGTTAAATTTAACAGAAATTTTTCAACTGTGCGTATATGTGTAGAAACAACAATTCGCGATCTTAATTTATCTTAAAATTTTTCTTAAAATTTACCCTGAAAATGATTGTAGGACAATATATGATATTGGGAAAATTTTATAAGAGCTTCTGTGATTAATATTTATCATAAAAAATATTAATATGTATACATACTAAAATTAACTGAATATATTTTATATCTTATAATTAAAAATTAAATTGTGGTAGCAGATATTAATATTTTTATTGTGGTAAATATTAATCAGAGAAACTCTTATAAAACTCTTCCAATATCATATTGCCTTATAACGATTTTCAGGATAAATTCTAAAAGAAAATTCTTTTTGTAGGCTATCGAGACGCAAATAACTTTATATAATCAATTGAAAATCAACTTTATCCTTCAGTTAATTTGATTAGGATTTTAACCGAATTTTAACGTATAACATCAAATATTAAATTGGAATATATAAATTCTGAATTTTTTTTAAACTTCTATATTTTTAACGAACAAATGTATTAGTCCAGCCACTGTGATCAAATAAAGAAAACACCCTGTCGATTAAGTCTTCCATATTTTACAATTAAAGTATAATTGCGCTGTCAAAAAGGGATATAAAATAAATTGATGAATAACATATATGATGTAACTCGAACGTCCCGCATCGTGTCTTTGAATTATATCGCTTTGTCGAGTTGAAAGGAGCTGAGAAAGATATAAATATCGGGATTGAACTGGGTAATTCTCGTGAGAAAGCTGGATTCATCAGCAGAATACAAACGAGCTCTTCGTTCAACGTGGTTCAACGCGCGATTTCTTGTAAACAGCATTATGCAAACAAAGTTCCGAGAATCGTGATACTAAACGTTTTGTCATGTACGTGTGATGATAAAATTATACATAGTATCGATTTATTACGAGAAATTCAGGAAGGATGGGTGAGGAACAACGGTTCTCATCTGTAATTTATATCTTATTTATGCTAATAATTAATGCCTATTTTTTTCTCTCGCGAATTGCGTCCAAGAATAAATTATCTGCAAATATATATAGAAAAACTGATAATAATTTTATGATATACGTATATAATTTATGATGATATTAATTGTCATCCAAATAAAACATGTTTGAAAATATTTTAAAGATCTCAACGTAAAATCAGAATATATCATATTATTGTAATTAACATGTAATTGATTATAAAAAATATAAATTATGACACAAAAAATTACAAATTTATTTTAAAATTTAAATATTACGTTACATTAAATATACCTTAATTATTTGCAAAACAATAATTGTCTACAAATCTATTATATATTATTACACTGAAAAAAAGTGTTGAATTCGAATAAATATTTCTTTCAATACCCCTTCTATAAATCATTTATTTGAAACTAATATTGATTTGATGTCAAAAATATTTATTTGACAATTGTAAAAAAATTGTTTTTTAACTGCTTTTACACTGGAAAAATTATTAAATTAATAAATATTTATTTCTATACTGCCTTATAAATTATTTATGTGAAACAAATAAAATAGAAATATTAATATTTTTACAAAGAAATATGACCAACGCTGCATATAGAAATTTTACATATAATATATAATATTAATAAGTGGCGCAAGAAGAAAAGACATAATGTATAGCTATGTAACCTGATCGTACAAGAAAATGCAAAAATACAAATCCAATTAAGACTCCTCGGCACCATTCAGGAAAGTCGTATTAGTCAGAGATATAATACGTATATATAATTCGCTTCGGCATTTATCTGATAATTATGCGTGAACTCTTGTAGTTTATAACAAGGTATAAAAAGTCGCACTGCGAATTATACCGAAGTATATATATATGTATATGAACTTTCACGATCGAGAGTCATTACGTTTCGCGCATCCATATTCGCGCTGTAAGAAAATTAAATGTGATAGTATACGATAAACTTGTCGCGTCGAGGACGAATGAACAACGATCAGTCGTTGGCGCAAAAATCGTTCGCTAAAATAAAGTGATTTATAAATATTAGAAACATTTAAAATTACCATAATTCCCGTTGCTTGGCACACATTTAAATATCATCGTGTAATTTTCTCCTTATTTATTGTGTAAAGATTTATTTTTTTTTATACAGAGAAATTATGGGAGATATTTTTTCATAATTTTATCTTTTTAAATAAATTTATTTTTCATTTCTTTTAAATTTATGTATATAATTTTATTTTTTGTATTTTAAATCTATACTAAAATCTGTACTTTGAAAAAAATTGATTAAATACATTTATTTCAATATACTGTCTTATAAATATAATAATTTATTTGAAACTAATATTAAATATTGGTTTAAATAAATGATTTATAAGGCAGTATTATTTTCATGAATTTAATTTATTTTATATATATAGATATTTGATAAATAAGTACAATTATTTTAACACAAAATAAATGCAAAACTTCAAATATAATTTAAAATAAATTTTTTTATGTAAAATTAACATTCTTTTAATGTAAAAATTAACAAAAAATATATTAATTTTATATTTTATCATTCTCACTTATATTATAATATAGAAAATCAACTTTTTTTCTGTAAATTTTAACAGATAAATTTTGTCACTAATAAAGCAGAACATATTTATTGTGTAAAATTAAAATAGATTCACAATGTTATTTTTACATTTTTTTCAATTGTTTTAATAATTTAACATTTAAGTTCAATTAACAGATCAGTAATATATTAAATTAACACTGAATGTGTTAAATATTTAACACAAAAGTTTTATTATTAATATTATACATATATGTAAAATTTCTATATGTAGTGTTGATCATATTTCTTTGTAAAAATATTGTAAAAAAATTTGTTTTTTTTAACTTTTACACTGGAAAAATTAATTAAATTAATATTTATTTTTATACTGCTCTATCAATTATTTATTTGAAACAAATAACAATAATAATTTTTCCGTTTTTAACAGTTTAAAAAAACACAAATTTTTCTACTGTATAACTTCATTAGGTATACTCTTGTCTTTTGACATATATGATACATAAAAAAAAATCTTATATCTTTCAACGCACGCGACATTCTTATATCGTAGCACATAAAAAATTTGTTTCTTCGCGTTATGTGAGATCGCAAAATTGCGGATGACGCTGAATCGAGGAATAATAAAATATCAGAATATTGCGTCGCACGGAAACGCGATGCGCGAGAGAATTTCCTCGGCATTGATTTACGGCCGATTCCGATCGTATACGCGAAACGGAGAGCTCGTGCGAGCGGAAAAGTGACTTAAGTGGATAGCAATTGCTTGAATTGCGGACGGGAATTTTGCCAGTTCGGCCGCGGCGTGTACGCACGATAGAGCTCGGCGATTATTATCGCGCCGATTAACCGGTCTTAGCTCCGAGCTCTCCCGGTTTCTCGCGTTATGTGTGCATTTCGAACGGCGGGCGCCGTAATTCCGCGGTACGAGATGAGATAATCGCAGGGAGAAAACTTCTCTTAATCGCGTGATGATTCTCCATCTCGGACGAGAAGGGGATATCCGTCATGCAGCTCGATCGTTTCGGTAATTTACGCGAGTGAATAATTACCGTTGTTAGCGAAGTGTCAGTATATATATGATGCACGGACGGAATTTTTTTGAAAATTTATCCTGAAAATCATGGTAATTTTGTGGGACAATGTATGGTACTGGAAGAATTTTGTAAGAGTTTTTCTCATTAATATTTACCAATAAAAATATTAATATCTACTACAATATTAATATATTGAAATAAATATAATACATCTACCACAATAAGATATAAAATATATTTGATGATACGTTTAAGTATGCTAATAAAGATATTATTCCTGAAAATGATAATTCTACATGTGAGAGTTTTAAGAATACAAAAATATAATGATTAAAAAATGTGCAAGATACAATTATGCATGGCATGGAAGAAATATTTGCAAGCGACGACATAAGTATGTTTGAACAAAAACGTTATTTATATGAAAACGATTATTTTACTTTAAAAAGAAATATAGAATATAAATATAATACCTAATATGAAAATATAAATAGAGCAGTAATACACAAATGCGAAATTAAATAACATTTGATTGATCGAAATAATTGAATATTAAATATTATATAACTGTAGATTTTCAATTAAAAAATATATTATATCATGTTTACAAAATAAAAATTATTCATGTTTAATTAGATTTAATGCGTATAAAGTTGATTTAATTATATATACATTTGCATAAATAAACAAAAACACATTCTATTATAAGAAAATAAATATCCTTTACAAGATACGGATATTTTATTCAAAATATCGAATGAAATATGCAAAAATTTTACTTTGCGATAACATTATATCCACATATTTTACATCAATTTTTATATTTTTATAGAATGTTGATAGAAATTATTTATTTTTGTTGAAGAATTCACTTAAAAAATGATGAAATTACATTTTGTATCCGCATCGTTCTCAAATCAGACTTGCGTGTTAAACTGTTAGAATTTTTCATTTCATTCAGAGCGTTGTTTTATGCGGTGAGTAAAAGGGAGTACTTAAATTTTAGTTTTTGCCATTATCTCGAAAATTATCAATTTTTCGAGAAAAATAGTTATTATCAAAATTGTAGCTCAGAAAATTTCCTACAAGAAAAGTCATTATACTTTTTTTCGTGGAATTAACCGTTTCGAAGATATAGAGCAAAAAAAAACGCTCTCAGTACCTCTATCTTCGCGTGGTGTGCGGAAAGGAGTACAGACATTGCAACTCTACGTTTTACTCAAAATCGATTAGTTGTACGAAAAAAAGTTTAATGACCTTTTTGTAGAGAATTTTATGAGGTACAATTTTGATAATAACTATTTTTCTCGAAAAATTGATAGTTTTCGAGATAATGGCAAAAAACTACAATTTACCTCCCATAAAAAGACGCCTTGGATGAAATTAAGGGACTTTTCAGAATTTTATTAGAACATCAAAATAAAGGTATCCACAAAAATTCAGCTTGATGGTAATTTTTATGAAGTTTGCCCTTTTCAAGTTTAATTTTTACTGGATTAATATATACGAGATTTTTTTCGACGATGTATACGATAAGCATTGATTATAGTTTATTTCTAAATATACTGTTTAACAAATTACATCAGTCATGATTGTTTCTTGAATGTGTGTGTATTTGCCTAAACATAAATATGTTTGATAAATTATAAGTATAATACATGAACAATTGCATCGGTCATAATTTTTTTTTTGCATTATTTTCCAATCATCTAATTTTTGAAATTGTCTATCTGCACGCCCTCACTTTCAATAATTAATTAATGATTGAAAACTTCTGCAGAAAATTTATAAATTTATAATGTTTTGCTTCTCATAATATTATTCATAAGGACTGGTAATTAAGCTGACTATCAAAATTATGTACACACTTCTGTGATATCTATAATATATACATTTATATGTATACAGCCTCTATATATTTAATGCTTTATCGCCTTTTAAAGAAGGAACCGTTTCCAAGTTACTTTAATAAATAATACAACTCTGAATACAACTCGCTGAATAAGTACTGGCGGTCGATATTTTATTGCAAGTGAAAGAACACATAAATGGCGTGTAATACCCTTTCTTAAGCAAGGAAAGCAATTAACGAGTTACGAGATGCGGCATTGTTTTTCATAGAAAGACCATCTTGTCTACAACCAGTTCTTAAGACTTCTTTTTCTCTTTTTAGAGTTTTATTTCATTTTTTTTTTTTTTAGCAGTACTTAGTTCCTTGGTTCTCCGAAACCCACTTCTCTTATTTATTTATCAAGGATATTTTAATTATATAATTATTATTATAAAATAATATAATTATTAAAATTATTATTATTGTTTTTATCATTTATTTTTTAATTATTTGTTATAATTTTATTATTTTATTTTTTAAAATGTTTTTACAATTGTAAAACATTTAAAAAACGCGATTTAGAATCAATTTCATCAAAATTCTTGATGGATTAGTATCTCGTGTCGTTCATCAGGTCAAAGTTCAAACGAATTGACAGCTGAACCATGTTCGGTTCATTAAGAACGGTCTCCTGCAATCAAGAATGCACTCGTGATGAAAATAAAGGTTTAATTTGATCACAATTTTCACGCTGCGAACAGATCAAACATTGGCGACGAAATCAGCTGATTGTCAATTATTACTTATCGAGGAAAAAAAATAAAATTGCGGGAGGAAGAAATAAACAAGAGAAAAACTGCGTGGATAAATATATATGATTGAAATAAACGATATTTTCCATACCGGTATTTTGCTCCAATAGAATTTAATTTCTCGGTCGAGATCTAGCAATTAGCTGAACTAATTTTTTTTCTGATAAGATTTCACTTCGTAATATCGTGTCGCTCGCGAAACACGATTTTCTACATTGAATCATATCGAGATATTTATCTAAACATTCGACATGCGAGCTTTCTCGATAAGAGATCACGTACTTATGTTGTTTTAATGATTTACAAATTATTACGATAGAATATTTTAGTCATATTATTTTAATTTTATATGCAAGTAAAAATTTTCTTTCTTACATACACTGTAAAAAAATATGTGAAATTACATAAATATTAAGTGTAAAGTTACAATATATGAATAATGAAATTGCGTATGCACATTTTCATTATTTATCGTGTGTAATTTTACATTTATTATTAAGTAATTTTACATATTTTAATGTAATATATTACATATTCTTTTTTACAGTGTATAATTTTACATTTATTATTTATGTAATTTTACATATTTTTATGTAATTTATTGTGCATTTTTATGTAATTTATTTTATGTAATTTTAAATATTTTTATTTATGTAATTTTACATATAGTATTTTTATATATTACATATTCTTTTTTACATTTATTATTTATTATTTGTAATTTTACATATTTTGATGTAATTACATATTTTTACATATTACATATTCTTTTTTACAGTGTCTAATTTTACATTTATTATTTATATAATTTTACATGTTTTCATGTAATATATTACATATTCTTTTTTACAGTATACATATATTTACTTTAATTAAATGTTTTATACTATGAAAAATAACACTAACCTAAATGTTGTAACCTAAATGTTTAACGTCAAACTCGTTCTTATATACGATAAAAACAAGTCGACATCGTTTTTGTGCATCGTGCCTCTGTACATGAATATTGTGAGAATTTGCGAACCGCAAACCACTACATTAACTAAAGTGCTATCGCCAGCGCTGACACGGCATTAATGTCCAATTCCCGTTTGATATTTTTCAAGACTTCTATCCTTTCTTGGATGTGCGATTTAATTGACATTAATCGTCTGGATGGTTTATTCATACAATAACGTTTCACCCGGGATTATTGTAGTTTATAACAACTACTTCTTTATTTGTAGCGTCGATCAATTTTATCCAATGATTACGTGGCAACTCAACAACTAACATAAGTAACAATAATAAGTATAAGGCTGTAAATTTATCGAAAAAAACATTTCATACAATTTTACGATACCGCGAACAATTAAATTATGGTTTAATAACGAATTCTAAGAAAATCATTAATGTTCCTTTTTATTACGATATACAAGCGCATTTATTCGAATTGTATAATTATAATAAATATATATAAATACATTTCATAAATTTTATATAATTTCAAGAATAATCTTTGTGCGATTTATAAAAAAATTCTTATTTTAAGCTCGTTTCAAGAAAAATTGAAAAGCAAATTTGGAGCTTCAATTTTGCAATAATCAACATATTAGGTCACGTGACTCTTAAAATTATTTGCGTTATCATATTATGTATAATTATCCTTTTCTTATTTATTTCACAGTTTTTGTTAATAACGTCAAAAATTCTATTAAATTACTTACAATTAGATCTGACGATGTTGAATCTACGATGATTTTTAATATGATAAATGTATAAAAAGCAAATATAAAACGAACAGTTTTAGAATATTTTATATTATTTATCATCACTATTTTTCGCGGATTATTGTTATTTAATTATCAGGAGTTGCTACGAAATGATTGCATATACAAATTGTCGGAGCTATATAAAAGTAGAACTCGCAGACTGGAGACGATGTATAAATAATTAAAAAATCTTTTCACGAGACAACTTTGTGTTCGCGTACATCGATAAATCAACGTTAATATTTTATCGTCGTCTTATTTTTATAAAACGCTTTTGCGCGATATATGCAAATTGATGGTTTTTTATCTGCATCATAAGATATGTATTGTATGATTTTTTATATATACAAATAATTATTTTATCATATTGATCGATTTCTATTTTAATTACATTAATTATTTTCTCACGTTTTTTATTTTGATAATTTTTGTGTCTATAATTTTTGCCGTTAGAGACAATAATTATCTCAGATTTAAATATTGCAATTTTATCAAACATTATATTATTAGAAATTATTATTTATATTATTTTCTATTTTAATTATATTTTAATATTATATTTATTTAATTTTGTAATATTTTATTATTTTTAAAAA